CAGGGAGTCCACTTCTCCCTCTCCCTCTGTCCCTCCCCCTGCTCATGCACTAGCTCATGCCCTCTTGCTCTCAAATAAATAAACAAATCGTTTTAAAAAAACTATTAGTTAAAGGGTAAAAGCTGTTTCAGAACCACTGAGACTTTCTAGTTTTTTTTTTTTTCTGGAAAAAGGAAAATATTCAGGGCAAAATAAAGTAAACCATGAGCAATAAACAGTATTTCAGTTCATAGGAATTAACCAACAAGATTTTTTTCTTCAGCATTCTACTTTTCAGGGAAAAAAATTACAACAAAAGCAAAATATATTTTTTCAAATTCAATGTGAAGTATAATTTATTTTATTCCTTGATATACCACCATATTTTAACATATTTAGAAATCTGCACATCATAGTTTTCCTACCACTCATAACTGGATAGTGTTAGTCATCTAACTCACTGAAAATAAACTTCACTTACATGGGGGAAAAAACAAAATATATTTATCTGGGATTAAAAGTGTTCAGAAATGCATTCAGTTTAAACTACCCTATTTGTTTATATACTATACAATCTCTATAAGAGATTATCAACCATTACGTATCAATCATGCTCTCTGAAAAGGACTTTCATTTACCTATACTTTGAGTCTCACAATAACCCTTTGAGATGGGTGTAGCAATTCTCATCACCATTTTACAAATGAAGGAGTGGAGCTCCAGAGGGCCATATAATGTCACCAAGTAGGAAGTGGCTCACTTACTACTATCTCTAAGTCCTGTATTCTTTCTATATTTATCATACTATACTTACTAAGACAAAATGCATGTACATAAACACATAAACACACACATATATACATGTTGTTACATGTATATTTAATATGCATGTGTGTGTGTGTGTGTTTATGTATAAAACCTGAATTTTGAATAAGAACTTCCAGGTTATTTCTAAGCTGGAACCCAGGAAACTAGCAAGACCCATTCCCGGTTTCACTTCATGGTAAAATGCAATCTATATGAAGCAAATCCCATGGTTGCCAGCTCCTTTAATGAGACATATACTGTCCTTGCTAGCCTTATTGTCTTGAGCCTATTTGGGCTTTTGGGGGTGTCCTAGGCCACAAGTGGCTTTTCCTCCTTTGTTGGAAGAAGTTTTAAAGCACTGTCCCTATTTCTTCTTCACGGTTCCAAGTTCTCATTTCCCGTGAGGATGTTTTCAGCAATTTCCAAAGCAGCATTGTCCAATAGAACTTTGTGCAATGCTGGAAATGTTCTATATCTACATTGTTCAATTAAGTAACCATTAGCCACATATGGCTATTGGGCACTTTAAATATGGCTAGTGTGATTAAAAAATTGAAGATTTAAAGTTAATTAAATGCTAATGTTAATTAATTAAAATTTAAATAGGTACATGTGGCTAATGATACCATATTGGGCAGAATGTTTCTAGACAGTTTAAGATTATGGTTTACAGGGCCCAGAGCATCCCAGCAACAACATCCTTCCAGGATCACTCTGTGAGGGCTCAATAGAAGTTATGTATTTAGTTATGAATTGTGCCTTAGTTGGTTCTAAATGGGGTTTGAAACAAATCTTTAATATTAGAATTAAGAAGGTATATAGGGATCTTTAAGTAAAAGATAACAAATGAAGAGAAAATATGTTGTGGTAAATATTGAGATAAAAGAACAGAACATTACCATTTGAACTGAATTTGAGTTTCTAAACTTTAAACATTGGAATAGGACAGAACAATTCAATTCAATATAAAAATTTTCTTCTTGCCAGTGTAATTATTAGGGTTACAAGAATCCAATTAATAAAGTTGAGATTTTATTAGGGACTGAAGAGAAGCAAGAAGAAATACATAGAACATCAGATTTGCTGCATGTTAGAGTGGACTAGAACTGTAGGACCACCTCTAATGAAATTATCTACTTGACAGAATTGTGAAGTTTCAATGAAATTATTTATGAAAGCACCTAGGATAGTGCCTCACAGTTGATTGATATTAGCACTTATAATGATCATTTGATTCTGCCTGGATCTTTTAAAGGCCTCTTCCAAGTACCTGTGAGAACATAGGAAAATGCTTAGGATAATTTATTTGAAAAATTATTTTGTTGGGAATAGACCATAGAAGAGGAGGTACAGGCAACACAGAGGCAAGTAGAGAAATGTCATAGCCACATCCCCATTTTCAAATTACTACCATAGGGAGAACTGTTGCTGAGGAAGGTGGGTCAGGTACGTTGGGTCAGACAAAAATGAACCAGTGAGATCAGAGGGAAGAAGAATAGGAAGAAAATGTAGGTAACACAAGTGTTTGTATTTTAGGTATTTGTATATGTGGCTTTTATTGAATGTACTTTACTGATGCTAATGTTCTTGTCAAAAATAACCCAAGAAAGAAGCAGGGAAGACTATTCGAGTCACTACGAGGGTAGTGAAAAGGACACTGACCTTGGAATCGAGTTATTGGGGTTCCAATTCTAACTTCTCAATCATGAGACTTAGACTAATCATCATCTTTTGGTCCCCAAATTCCCCTTCTTGGAAAACAATGATCTGCATGATGCTGAATGATCTTTAAGGTTATTCCAGCCCTAAAACTCAAGAGCATAATTCTAAATATGAAACCACTTGTGGGCTTTAGTCCTCCAGATCCCATGAAGCTTTGCTGCTCTATCAGGAAAGCCTATTGTTTTAGTCCCCTAACTTGTTTCTGGAATCCTAAATACCAAGTTGTGTGAAGAGTGGTAACTCAATCAGCATGCACAAAAGCAGTTGGTATGGTGGGAGTGAGTGACAGTGGGTGGGTGAACAGATTAAAGAGGAATGGGTTGGAAGAGAGTAGCATGTGTGAAAAAGAAAGTAGACCTTCCTCTTTTGGCATTCTTTTGCTAATTTTCCAATAACAGCTATACAAAGCCAAGTGCCAAAATGAGGGCATGAATATTGCTTGGAGTTTGGAGTTAGGCAGACCTGAATTTGAATCCAAGCTCTAGATTCAAGACATCTAACTTCATTTTTCTTATCTTTGTGATATTTACAGTTAGCAGCTATTATGAAGATTAAATGAGACAATATTACCCAGCAGATTGTAGATGTTCAGTAAATATTTTCTTAACTTGGCCTCCCCAAATTGGTTCAATTCTTTCCCATTTTACCCATAATATAAAAGACTAACCAAAGAAACAGCCATGCAGGGCTGCTTAGAGATCTATATCTAGAGGATGTAAACAATCTGTGGAGGGGAGGGAAGGGTGCTAAAGAGAGGAAAAAACCATAGCCAGGAATAGATAGCCCAGGTTCGCCATTAATGAAGTGAAGCCTCACAATTCTCTGTTTCCTGAAAGCCACAAAAGTGTTCATCAGAATAACAACCTAACTGCTTTTCCAACACTTTACCAGTAGGGAGATTCACCGCACAGACAGAAGACATAGAAAGCGGAGCCACACATCCTTTTCCCACCTGAAGTTAGCAAATATGGATTCTGGAGTGACGCCCACTCCTTGCTCCTCGACCCGAGATCGGAGTACCTCCTTCCAAGAGGAGTCCGGGGGAAGGCACAGAACCGCGGAACGCAGAGCACCTATACCTATCTCTCCAGCTTGCTTATTCCATATGATCCTCCTTACATGGTTCTAACGCAGTTTCTGCCTGGGGGAAGTGCTGGGAAGCGGTGAGCCGCCCGTTCTCCCGCGCTATTAGTTCCCGGCCTCGCCGAACTTTCAGCACCGCGGACAGCGCCCAACCCTGCTGTCCCCTCGCTCTCAAGCCCAGGCTCCACCCTGGTGCTGCTTTGCTGCCTGGGATGTTCTTCGGGACCCCTTACCCGGGGGGATTGGCGGATTTACACTCTGTGGTCCTTGGCCAACTCCTTCCAGGGACTGGCCCCATCACTCAGAAGATTACATCTGCTCCCCCTCCCAAGTTTTTCCTCTGAATTTGCATCCAGTTCAAGACTCTCAGTTCAGGCAGGACTCTGAATGGAGTCTCGCACAGATAGTGCGGTGAGGAGTGCCAGGAGCAGGCGAGAGAGCCCTGCTGTTCTAGTTTTCCTTCTATCTTTCCTGTTTTCCCTTTGCTTCTAGTCATTCGGCGACTTCTATCTTACTTTTCGATCACAATCTAAAATACACCTGTGTGTGTGGGGGGGTGACTCTCGTGAGGGAAGAAGGTTTGGGGCTCCATCACGCGAGGCCACACTGCCTTACTCTGGTCTTCTGGATTTGTTCTTACAAACGGATGTATTTGGGATGGGGGAAAAAGGAAGATCAGATGGGATGAATAAGTGCGGGCGAGAATCCTCTCCCCGGGGCTGCCCTCTCTGGCCAGAGATCTTCCCTGGACATTTCTCCCATCACGTCCTTCTCGATGCCCCGCGGCGTATCACCACTCTCTGGGGACAGATACCCCTTGTGTAGCGCACCAGCCCGGTCTGGGTATCAGGCTCAGGGGGAGTCCTTTTGAAGAGTTTTGCTCCCAGGTAAAAGGACAGATGTTGTCCCCGCCCTCCCCTCGGGCTACGGCCGGAAAAACGTCCCTTCCTTTCCGTGGGCTCAGTCCGAGGCCGATAACCTAGCTGCGGGAGCTGGGTGTATGACAAGGCAGGGAGAAAAGGACAGGCCCGGCATCTGTGGAGACCCAGGCGACCCGGACACTGCTCGAAGCTCCCTCCTCTGTCTCACTCCGGCCGCGCCAGGGCTGCATTTGCCCCAACCCCGCCTCCCCTGAATCGGAACCTGGAGTCCCCCGACCCCGGACGCTGTCCAGACCCCATTTCTGGCCAGATACAAAGAGACCCCAACCCAGCTCCTTCCTTCTTCCAACGGACCCCTTCCCGGAGGGCGCCCTCAGCCTCCGCGCCATGTTCCTGTTTCCCCCCTCCCTCTGGCTCCGGCTCCCTCGTTCATTCAACAAGAAGCGACCATCCTATTCGTGGGGGTCTAGTTTGGGTGCAGGGTTTGTGGAGGGGGACAGACTGCGGCGAAGGGTTACGTTAACTCACCAGAGGGCTGGAGGCGATTAACAGGCTGCGGGGACTGGTGGCTAGTCGTCTGCACTTACAGCGCCAGAGTCTGTCTCTCCCACTGTGATGCGGAGTGGCGGTGGCAAAGGAAGGCAGGAGGTAGCCGCAGCTGCTGAACAGCTCCTCAATTATTCAGTTCGACCCCCTCCTCACCTCTCTCCAGGCAGCCTGTCAGTCTTCTCTCCAGCTCGCCTGTCTCCGCCTTCCTGGAGTCACGTGGGCGGCCCATTACATTATTGAGCTGAGGCCTCTCTCCAGACGCCCCCGCCTCCCAGCGCGCGCGCGCGCGCGCGTACACACACACACACACACACACACACACACACACACACAGCTTTATGCCACTCTCAACTTCTCTGTGGTCTACTGAGCCTCCGGGTGCCGTTTCCAGTATCTCAGGCTGTCCTAAGGCTTAGGGGCTCCTTGCCTGTTCCCTGCCGTGAGAAAGCAGGGCCAGGCAGAAGTCTGCAGTGTCTGTGTGTTGAGAAGGCATCCTCCAGCAGCTCCACCTTTGCTGGACTTGGCGCTGAACTACGCAGGCTCTCCAGACCTGCTTCCTACCCTCTGAAAGCTTCCCTCCTCTGCTGAGCCTTGCTGTTCTTAAATTTATTCCACTTCCCCAGCATTACTGGAGAGAAGGGATGGGAGAGATTGATTTCGTCTTTCTTCCTAAAAAAGATAAGACCCTCCTCCTTCTCCAAAACTCAAGCAGGTCAAATTCATCTTTGGGTTCTCAGCATCTTATGAATGGAAAGACTGTGGGTTTGAGATTTGAAGACCCACCAGGAATTCTAGTCTGTGTGAGCTTGGGTTATTTAACTCCTATGCTTCCTTTTCTCATCTGTGAAATGATCACCTCACAGGACTGTTATGAGAATTCTAAACAATGATGTTCTTGAAATTGCCTAGCACAGTCCTGGACACATACTTGTAACTCAATAAATGAGAGTTCTTCCCTTGCCTCTATTAGAATAAATTTTAGAAAACAAGAACAATGTGATTTGTGCCAGCAGAATGCAAGTATTTTCTATGAAATTGGGTTGGGCATCTGTGAGGTTAAGCTAGAGAGATAACCAGTCTGAAATGACGCAGGAGAGACACAAGACTTATATTTTTCATTGGTTCCATTATAGTAAGTATCCCAGAACTATGTTACGACTCAAAAGGATGAGGACTACATTGTACTAATCCAGGCATGTCTGGTCTCATCAGAGAAAGAATTATTTAACATGCACTGAGTAGACTGATATAGATGGAAACTGCCCACACGAATTCTTGCATCTTTGGTCCAAGCCCTCAAAAATACATGGAAACTGATGAAATCTACCCTTGGAAACAAATTCACTGGACTTGTGTTTCAGAAGAATACTGGCTGACTGATACCCCCTCCCTAGGATAGAGCAGTTCAAATCTACCTTTAGTTTGTGGATTTTAGTTTAGAGGCTCTGGTTCTCCCCAGAAAACTGACTGAATGGTGCCAGGACAGTCTTGGTAAGTACACCTAGCTCAAGCTCATTACTATCTTGGATCCAGATCTGAAGTCTTGAGACATCCCCATAATCAAGATTATGAGAGTCCTGCAGGGTATGTCAGACCTCCTGGGATACCCAAGAAGCTCTGAAATATTGCAGGAAAGTCATAGAGTTAAATAATCAGAAGTTTGGAATCTTAGTGCATGTTCTGCCTGTTACTTATTGTATGGTCTTTGGCAAATCACTCAAGCTTTCAGAGTGTCACCTTTAAAATGGGAATAGAGGGGTTCCTTGGTGACCCAGTTGGTTAAACATCTGCCTTTGGCTCAGGTCACCATCTTCAGGTCCTGGGGTGGAGCCCTGCATAAGGCTCCCTGCTCAGCAGGGAGTCTGCTTCTCTTTCTTTCCCTCTGTCCCTCCCCACTGTTCATTCTTTCTCTCTCTCAAATAAAGAAATAAAATCTTTCAAAAAAAGTGGGAATGGAATGTTTATCTGCCTTCTCCATGAGATAGTTGTAATACTAAAATGGGATAATGTGTAAGAAGACACACTGTGAAAGGTAAAAAAGGGTAAACAAATGCAAGCTGTTAATATTATGGACTGAATATGAAAATATTATGGACTGAATATGGACTGAAAAAACCCTGAATTTGTCTAGATTTATTATGGGCATGATGGGAAGATAGGATTTGTCATAAGATGGACACCTACTAAGATGTCAATGTATTTCTGTAAATCTGTGTGTGTGCATGCAACTCAGGGGTTGTGGTGTTTTGAGCATTGTGTTTTTTCCTTTTCCCTCTTCTGTGATGGATTGCTGGATTAAATCTCATTTTTTCCCCTGGCCTTTCATTTTTAAAACACCACCAGCCACAGTCACAGGGGTTTTGAGTATTTAGTATCTGAGATAAGTTAGTGCTTGTATTTCAGGACAGTAGAGTTGAGATTTTTCTGTCTTCGCTAGGTAAAATTGATTTGCATTAGAAATTCAAAATGGGTTTGATTTCAAAATAAAAAATATTCAGCATCCAGGAGCAATTTCCGGTTATTCATCAGCACCTAAATGGTGATATGAATCTCCAATCCACTGCCAATAAATCCAATAAAATCCTCACACAAACCAGAAACCTCCGAGGAAGTTCCCCTACCTTTAAGCAGACTCTAGTCCAGTTTTCTGGTTTATTTCCTTTTAATATTCCTTAGAAAGTATCATTCTAGGCCTCTTTAAATTTAGAGAGATCAAAAGACCAAAAGGTGTCAACTCATGCTTCTAAACATATCATTTAAAAATATTGTCCAGGCTAGGTAAAATGCTGCCCCTGACTCCTACCCACTTCTGTGTTGTCACGACAAAACATGAGAAATGGAAGAACAAGCATGAAATAATTTGCTTCAAAAATGGTGCTTTTATAAGCAGTTACTCTGATGAGTATAAATTTTAGAGAATTTTGAATAGTTTCACCAGAAATTTCTCTGGCACTCTGAATAATTTTTTTTTTTTGAACCAGTTTTGAATACCCAAATCAACTTTACCCAGCTAAAGGCAGAAAAAGGAGGTTGGGGGACAGATCTTGGATTGGTTGCAATAGAAAGGTTGTACCTTAACAATGATTTCTTGATAAGATTTCCCTTGGGTCCTACTCCTTTACTTATAAGCTCTTATCTTTTGCCTGTTGACTGTTGCCTTTATAAGCCAGTGGAGATACTTTTCAGCTGTTGGGAGAGCATAAATGAGCCAACGAATAGAAAGGCAGTAGATAAAAATGTGTAGAGTCACACATAGTAGGAAAACTTGATACATATCTCAGTTCTAGGGTTCAGCAATGATACTACAGAGTGACTGCTAATTAGACCTTGAAAGTATACATCCTTGTTTATTTATTCCAATTGGAATATGGGAGGGTTGAATCATTTATTCAACATATTCTAGACACTTGTGATATGGCCACAAACGATACAGAGATGACTCCTGCTCTCCTTTAGCTTACAGTCTAAGGGAGAGAGTCAGACTCTAAGCAAGAAAACAAAGAAGTAGAGATAAGTATCATGATAAAAACAAAATGGAGTGTTATAACCAGGAGTAAAGGGGTACTGCTGTATTGAATGGTGGGGAACTGACAAAGGAAAATGTAAGGGTCCAGACATGAAAGTGATTACTCTGCAAGAAAGGGGTAATACCCTTTTATATAAGGGCTCTTTGCCAAAATTCTGTGTCATTAGCAGGGTAATCATGAAAATCCTTCATTATAGACCTGCTTGGGTGGATTATGGTTAGGCTCTGAAGGAATTGGCTAGATGCCTTAAGAACAATTCCCTGGTTTTTGTCTCATGACTTATGATAATGAGTACCTGATGCTTTCTTCTGGAAGGATTCCAAGTCCATCAATGCTACTGACATTTTCCTCTGAGTATATTTAGAAGCTGAGAAATCAAAAGCACCACAACAGCCTGGTCAGAGGCTGGTCCAAAGGGAGAGGTGTTTCTGGGTAGTTGGAGGAGAAGAGAAGAGCCCAGTATGTCATAGGCACACGATAAAGGTATATTGGATAAATAACCTGCTGCTAGGATTCTACCAATTGTACTGGGAGTTTGTAAGTCAATTATTTACGAGTAATTATACTCTGGGTATCTAAATTCTAAGAGGAAGAAGGGGGATTCTGTCCTAAGCATGTTCATTTCATTCTTCCCAAATTTACAGTGACATACATCACTTTTCCCACTCCCAACCAAGTGGAGTGAATAAAGACCTCTAATGATGAAGCTGTGGAGAGGAGTTAGGAGTGTCAAAACAATGGAGTTCCCTGACATGGGGGGAAACATTAGAGCAAACACTTCTTTGCATTTGTTATGTTTTCCTTAAATGCATTCACTTTTCTACTTAAATTAATTTATTTTGAAGAGGTTTCTATTACTACTTTAAATAGAAAGCTGGTATCAGTTGCCATAAATACAAGATAACCACTTAAATAAACACAATGAAAATAAAACAATGCTATTATAGTCAAGCTAAATACTGTTGCCTGGCTAGAAACCTGAGGCTTGTTTTATCCTTATTAAAGAAGGAAATTAGCAACTGTAGAGAAGTATTAAAGACATATTGACATCAAACTGAGACTTTCTCCATGAAGTAATCAGAAAGATTGAAAAACAAATGGAAAATGAAATAATTTCTCGCTCTGTGATTATACGCCATTTCGTTTGAGACCTAGTACCATCTAAATCAGCATTTCTCCTAACTTTATTTATTTATGTGTTTATTTATTTAGAGAGCTGAAGCACACAGGCACTCAAAATGGGGAGGGGCAGAGGGAGAGGGGAGAGAATCTTTTTTTTTTTAATTTTATTTTTTATAAACATATATTTTTTTCCCCAGGGGTACAGGTCTGTGAATCGCCAGGTTTACACACTTCCCCACACTCATCATAGCACATACCCTCCCCAATGTCCATAATAACCCCATCCCCCCCAACCCCCCTCCCCCCAGCAACCCTCAGTTTGTTTTGTGAGATTAAGAGTCACTTATGGTTTATCTCCCTCCCAATCCCATCTTGCTTCATTTACTCTTCTCCTACCGAGGGGAGAGAATCTTAAGCAGACTCCACACTCCGGGTGCAGAGTCTCCTTGGGCTCCGAGTCCCCAGGGGTGAGAGGGAGGGGTGTGATCTCTCCACCAGAGATCATGGACTGAGCCAAAATAAGAGTCAGAGGCTTAACTGACTGAGCCACCCAGGTGCCCCTATATTTCTCCTAACTTTGACGTGCGTAGGA